CTAACCTACTAACCTACTAACCCACTAACATACTAACCTACTACACTTTTGCATTTTGTTTCAAGAGCAAGTCAAATGGCTTCTCATGATCTATACCGTAAGGATCCTTCAATGAAGTTGCTTAGCCAGCACTGAGAAGGACTCCTAGATCAAGAGTCTGCACTCCAATGATAGTTTGCTTGGCCAGCATGCTTAGGAGTCCAGATCACTTCTGTAGCATTGCGTAGCAATGTTATGGGAGTGAAAGTCATCAACAAAGGGGTCATGGCAGCCTTAAGCCATCTGATGAGACCTTTGGCATGGTCGAAACCCTTTTTTATTCTGTTTTATGTAAATAAACTTTATTGAAACAGTACACTTCTTGTATAAAATGAATCACTCTTGAGTACTATAGCAGTATAGCTCTCAATACGCCAAGCAATGTTCCCATACGAGAGCGCCACTCTTTCTTCGTATAGTTTCATATCCGCCTCTTAGTAGTCAGAGTTGTCTGACAGCTTTCAGTCAAAGACTAGAAATAGAAGTGGCAGAAGGCTATGGGGTAAAGGTAGAGCTTCATAAAGTCTGTTCTAAAAAGGAGCTTTTCATCTTTTGATGAAAGCACTGAAATTTTTTCTTTCTCCCTGCCTGTCTTTTACTCATCTCTTCCTGTTTCCTCTCATACTTATTTTCCTATCAAAAGCACATTTCAAACTTAACGTTCAAACCAGTTATCCATGAGCGCTAATACACACGTGCCTTTAAATCGTTGACACTAGGTACGTGAGCACTAAATTCTCAACATGTCCTGTATCGACGCCTGTTTTTCGCTCATTGTTGTATGTATACCCAGACTTTTACACTTCCATTACCATCAAAGATTGTAGCATTACATGTCACAGTGCGTAGATGGATGGGTTTCGACAAAAAAAAGTTGTGCGCTTTTGGGTGGAGTGTATGCTATGCAACGTTTATATGACAAAAACATGTCATTTTCTGACTTGGCTGATGAAAGGTAACTTGACCGATCCAAAGGAGGCAGTCACGCGTCCAGCACTGAGTTGCTTAAGACATGTAAATAAGCGCCATTTCCGAATACAAGATGGAGCTATTCCGATAGATAGAGTCAGAGAGTTGGCCAAGGTCTTAACGTAGAGGAGCCATAGTACAATAAAGAAGCAAGTAATCATATTAGTCAGTCAATCAAGGATTACTGGGTTCAGAGGTAGTTATGGGCCAGAAGTCAGAGGAATTCGACAGATTACGAAAGTTCAGTTATTAATAAATAAGAGGGAAAGATCGTCTATGGTTTATTAGAGAATCGTTCGCTCTGATATATTCGGGCATAGGTACAGATCATAGTGAGCGGCTTAGGATGATTTTAGGCACAGGTGGAGGCAGGTCAGGTGACTTTCCAGCTAACTATGCCACAATTCCCAATTTGGAAGCCACAACGTATCCAATCACGTGATATTATGACTGTTATACGGTCCGGGCTTTGGGTACCCGGATGATTTTCAAAGTGCTCAACTTTTTCGGAAAGCTAAGACTTGCGCGCTCTTCCTCTTTTCTTTTCTTTCATTCCCTTCCTTTTTGCTCTGCCTAAAATTTCCCACATGTATAGCTCTCACGATTTAAAGCGTAAAATTAACCCTGAACCAACACCGATGGTAGTGCATTCCCTTGCTTAAACAACCAATCACTCCACTCAATTAACCATCATCACCTTATTTGGTAGCATGCCGCAAAACGTCCAGCGACAGACCATCTTCCGAATACCACCCATTCATTCACAGCACCACTATCACAGCCGCTATATCAAGAAAGTGGCTTTGGGGGTAGCCCGATACCTCCGATCAGCACTACCAATATGCCCCGATGCAAAAGCCCACCGCTGGGTATGACTCTAGCCCATTTTGATTCGGCATCAGGAGGCTATTCAACTTCACTTTTGAAGACGGAAAACTCTACTGATTCCCCCATTTGCAGTGGCATGACGCCGGCTTATAGACCGGCCATGGAACGTTGGGGTTCGTGCATGTTATAAATTTATTGATTTCACCGTGCAATACTAGTCAAAAACTTTTTGAACATCGCTTTGGAATAAAAAAGAAGAGCATTGAGAAACGGCAATCCATCCCTAAATAGGGTATATTCATAACCATTCTATATCAAAAACATATTTCTGCATCGCTACACATGCTGTTGTTAAATAAGTCAAGCGCATTTAGATTATGAATGGCGAATATAAGCACGTCCGTCAAGTGCAATATGACAATGGGCTCAATTGGACAATGCAATATGGCCGAATAAGTGGGGATAAAATTGAACAGATGGCATAAGCCTTACAGTAAAGGGTATAATCTGCTGTTCAGAGCGAATACGGGATAATAGTATATATCCATCCGACTCAGAAGATGCTGTGACATATTTGATATTAATCATCAGTTAAGTGGCATAGTATTATTGAGCTATGATGACTTTCTCATATTTTACATTTCTAGTTGATATTGCAGATCTGAGAGGAGATGGTACACTATGATTGAGGGGTTACAGGCTTGGATGAGGCCTGTTTCGATTTTCTATACTTCCTATGGCCTGGTCGTTTTTTTTCAAGAGTTCTCCTGCGACTTACTCCGTCGTTCGTCAGTCCAGCAGTATTGCGTAAATCCCCCAGCGTCTGCTTCGCGTCACTATATCGAAAATGAGTACTTTCAAAGTCCCTTTCTGTAGTTTCGTCCGAAGCGAGATCTTTCTTATACGGATTTCGCTTCATGAAATTACTGACATTATCTTCGTACTTGACTTTTTCGAGGTATGCTATAACATTGAGAAGTTCATTATCGCCAGTTAGCTGCTTCTCTGCGCTTTTGTGGTTAAATTCCGATATTGCAATGCTGTTGAAAGGCTGTAAGGCGGCTTTACTGGAGGAATCGTCCAAGAGTATGGTATTGTACGCTGTATACGACGGCATATCTGGATTATCTTCTAAGCTTTTCCAAACCAGTTGAAGATCTTTGATTGTCGGTATGTTTTTGAGATAATCATCTTCTGATAAACCAAAGTTCTCGCGGCTCCAAGTAAATAACAATTGTTTCTTGAAATTACCAAAGAGTTGGCACATATTGCTCACTGTATTTTGCCGTGCGGAGCTCCAGACGCCGACTTCAAACTGACTGAAAAGATATTCTAAGAATTCGGTATAGTGCGGGCGTACCCACATTCCACTTTTTCCTGTCTTTGAAACGAGAGCTCCATTCAAGTCCAGGATGATCAAAAGTCGGCGAGAATCGTTACCCTTGCTAGACGGCGTATTTGAAGTTGCCAAATAGGCTGGGCTGGCTCTTGAGCTTTTATGTCGAACATGTGTGAAATGCTTTACAGTGTCACTCATCACTTTAGCTGATCTAGTATAGGCTGTTGCCATTTCGTAAGTCCAGCTTGCTAGTTTAAAATGGTCAATCGCTTGAGGTTGTCGCATTCAACAATCAAAAATTATGTCTGTCATAAAAGTCATGTGACCGGTCCACTCCACCAACATGACTCAAGTTTTTTTTTTGGGACTGTGCAGAGGAACAAAGCAATCTTACAATGCCTTCCAGAGCGAAACAAAAGCAAGCACATGGCGATACTGACGCCGATCAAGTTCTTCAGGCAGTCATTCTGTCAGACAGCTTCAACTCTCGCTTCATGCCTTTGACATATGAAAAACCAAGGGTACATACTCCAAGCATGGCCGGCATAGTTCTGTTCACGTACTAACCGACTCTTCTTCATACCAGTGCCTTCTACCAGTTTGCAATGTACCTTTAATCGAGTACACAATCGAGTTCCTCGCCATCTCTGGAGCCCAAGAAATTTTCATCGTTGCGACCATGCACGCCGAACAAATTAAAGCATACATTGAGTAGGTTTCCTGAATCCAGCGTGACCCACGGCTTACGACCCGTTAATTCAATCTTCTTATTGTAGATCTTCAAAATGGTCAAAGAAGAATAGCTCTTCGCTTCATATCGAAGTTGTTCATGCTTCTGAGTGCTTGTCGGTTGGTGATGCCCTGAGAGAACTCGACGCAAGGCAATTGATCACCACCGACTTTATCTTAGTTGGAGGAGATGTAGTGTCCAACATGAAATTGGATAAGGCACTTGAAGCTCACCGATCTCGAAAGCGTAGTGACAGCAAGTACACTGATAAAAATGCCATCATGACAATGGTTCTTAAGGAAGGCTCCTCATATCATCCATCACGGTAAGACCAGACTGCTTCCACGTTTGACATTGCCTTCGACGTTGCTGATGAAATCCTAAATTCCCATAGTGCTCGCGGTGAAGAGAGTGTCTTTGTGGTTGACCCGTCAACAAATGAATGCGTCCATTATGAACCAATGGAACCTTTCCCTCGGAAAAAGCGACTCGATATAAACGCTGAAATTTTCGAAAGACATGCCGAAATTGAGTGCCGTAACGACTTGATCGACCCACTGATTGACATTTGCTCCGTTGAGGTATGTACTTCATTTTCAGAGATCCATTTCCGCTCATATGGTTTATTTACACAAATACCTTAGGTTCCGGCTCTTTTTTCTGAAAACTTTGACTGGCAACATCTCCGAAGCGATTTTGTTCGTGGTGTACTGACATCTGATATTTTGGGCAAGACAATCTATACATATATTTCGAACGATTCATACGCCGCACGTATTCAAAACAGCCAGCAATATGACTCCGTCAGGTACAGCTTTTGGAATGGCTATTATGATGGTTTTGATCCTGGACTAATGCATGCTTATTTAGCCGTGATATTTTGAAACGATGGACATTCCCTATTGTACCTGAAACAAACCTTCAAGAGAGCGATATCTACCAGTATAGTCGTGGCAATATTTACAAGGGAACACGTGTGATGCTATCCAAGTGAGTAATTGCCTTTGCAAACCGGGAAGGTGGAACTTTTACTGATGTCGATTTTGCAATCAATAGATCTTGCATTATCGAGGATAATGTTCAGATTGGATCAGGAACAGTAGTTGGCGAAAACTCTCGTGTTACCAATTCTGTCATTGGCAAAAATTGTAAAATTGGCAACAACGTCAATATCGAAGGAGCTTACCTCTGGGATAATGTGATCATTGAAGATGGTGTTGCGATCAAGCGAAGTATTGTGGCTAATGATGCCGTTATACTGACCAACACGACTTTGGACAACGGCTGCATCGTATCATTTGGGGTAAGTGCTTTTTGCTTTGCAGGGACATGCTGATATGCCGGCTCACCGCTACTGTTCTTAGGTCAAAATTGGTCCAAGCGTAGCATTACCAAAGTACACACGAGTCGGTTCACAGCCTCAACCTAAGGATGACTACTTTGACGACGAAGAAGAGAGTGATGACGAAGAAGGAGATAACGGTTGGTAGATAATACTTTGCAATATGCCTTACTTTCGTGACAACTAACATCTACCAAATCAGCTGTATCGGATATTGATCTGGGCGAGCAAGGAACTGGGTATATTTGGATTGATAAAGGAGACAACGACGAAGATAATGACCCAAGAAACCTCAAAGTTGCATCACTAGGTAAGATGCTTAACAATGTGGATAGTATCAGCAATATTTACTAAACTCCATCCCTAGCTTTTGACTTGAAGGATCTTAGCGTTGGCAAGGAACAAGGAGACGATTCTGACAGTGCAAGTGAAATCGGTGACTTGTCAGATAGTGATGATGAAAGAGACTCTGTAGGGGATACTTGGCATCCAGAGCAAAGCCAAATCCTTGCTGCTAGAAAAGTGGAGGAGTTCAAGCGAGAACTGGAACAAAGTATTAGTCGCGCATTTGCCGAACAGCATACTGTTGAATTGGCCGCGCTTGAGATTACAGGCTTGCGTATGTCTGCAAACGGAAGTTACGACGATGTCAGAGACGTTATTGTTCCCGCCATTATCAACCAAGTTGATCTATCCAAGCCCATGCCTAGCATACGAACAGTTTTGAAGAAATGGGGTTCCCTCATAGGCAAAGTCACCCATGGTAAAGATGATCAAGTTCATGTTCTCCATATCTTACAAGTAAGTCCAATTCTTTTGTTTCTTTAAATTGACAATGGTTACTGATAACCTATATATGATATTTCCAAAAAGGTACACTGCGCTGATAAGGAGCAACTGCACAAGCTATTCCTTCCAGCTCTTCGATTACTATATGACGACGATGTTGTGGAGGAAGATGCTATCTTCAGATGGTATAACTCTGACCGATCCAAGCAACTCGGACCTTCTGCTACAGCACTGCGTGACAAGGCAACTGTTTTCATCAAATGGTTGCAAGAGGCAGAAGAAGAAGATAGTGACGAGGATGATGAATAGACAATGTACCTGTATACAATTTATTTCAAATTTTTTATTTTTATTTTTTTTGGGAAATTTGCCCACGTCTCTAAAAATTTGGCATGATTCACTGAATGTGACTTGTTACCATTCCATTGCTGCCTTCATTGATCTTGCTGCAAACTCCATGTCGACGGATCCCGTCTTCAAGCTTCCGTATACGGTACACTATCCACTTGTGTTGTGAACATATCCCATTGTTGACGCTGACGTGATACGTATACTTTGAACAGCTAACTGCGTTGAAATGGAATGCGGACCACACACGCAATGAAGAAGACGTATACTGTTACTGTGGAAAAGGCTACAACTCGTTAGTAAACTTTTGACGTCTCTCAAACAATGCTCTCTCTAACTTCACAACAATGTCACAGAGGAATACCCATGGTTCAATGTCAACAGTGCCAGCAATTTTTTCATAGAGACTGCGTCAAATGTTTTCCAAAACCACTATTGTTTGGTGATGATTTTTTAGAATTTACATGCTCAGTATGCACTCAGAAAGATGAAAAATACGTTCGACAGAGCATGGCGTGGATCACGGTGGTTCAACTTGTACTATATAATTTGATGCGACGGCAAGATCCGGATACAGATTTTCCAAAGGACAGAGATCACAGCTATTTCCGCTGGAAAGAAGACATCTGCTCGTTCATAGATGATTATTGGGAATACTTGAATCCTGGAAAGCAAAGTACGAACAGCTGATGATATATGACATGCTGACTCGGCAATAACAATGTCTTCGTTTTACAGAATCGGCAACCTGGCATAATACCATCGCCAGTGTATTATCGACCAATGGTAGCATTTTCTTATCAGGAATTGAAAAGTTTCAACAACCAGGTAATGTTATATAAATTGCAAAAATCTGACTATGCTGAAAGCAATTACTCATTCAACAATATACAGCCTGGTGGACATTAGTCCGTTACGAGCCACCCCCAAAGAGTAAGTCAAAATATATCTGGACAGGTAACTTGGAGGTTTATTTAACACGATAATCTACCTGTAGTAGTACCTAGAGGCAAGGGGAAAGCAGCCAGTACAGCTAAAGGGAAACGAAAAGCTGAAGAAACACCTTCTAAAAAGAGATCATATAAGAAGCGAACACCCTCCACTGTCTCGGAAAAGATTTCAACTGACGCTGACGCTGACGATTTTCTACCAGCAAAACCTGTACGAAAACAAAAAACTGTTTCTAAGCCAGGGAAAAATAAGGATATGCAGACACAGAAGAAAAGAAAGCAAAGTGTCAAGAACACAGCCATATCTGAATCATCTGATTTGTCGTCAGAGGATGAATTGTCGAACGTCAGCGATACGGTATGTGATGGCAAAACACCAGTGCATCTTGATCATAATCTAACTACCGTGCATCGTAGGAATCACTGGAAAAAGCAGTACCATCCCCTACGACGAAAAGTGCCTCAGTGCAGCCATCGGAACAGGAACAGGTATGAAATTTAAAACTTACAGCAACCGAATGATGTGTACATGTGCATATCCATTTTTCCTTACTGCTGTCGTTTTCAAACATAATAGGAATCTGAAGTACAATCAGCAGCAGCTCCAAATGAAGAACAAACAAACACCTTGGAAGACCATTCCTCCTTGAGCACACGCAGCAGGTCATCGATACGAAAAGAATTGGAAGTAAACTTGGCCACAAATATATCAGACACCTTCCGCGACATGCTAGCATCGTCAGAACCTTCAATAGTCACGCCGTTGAATCCCAAAAAAAGCAAGCCATCACGACCAGCGGTAGGTGTCGAACGTATGTCTCAACAGCAAGAATGGCTCATACTTCAGAAACTCGATAGGATGAGTAGTACCTTGCCGACGGATATTGCTCGCTTGAGAAGGAAATTATACTTGCGAAGAGTAAGCTGCCATGCATTTTAACCTATATAAGCCGACATTTGAACTAAAACTGTTGCATATTATTGCTAAAAGATAAAGCGAGCACAAGGAACGAAAGTCTTCGATCTCGACGATTATATGAACTCGCACTTTCGGTCTCACCAAAAATTGACTAGAATGCCCGACATTGAATTGAAGGATACCTCACCTAAACCTCCATCACCCTCACCCTCACCATCGAAATCTGCTCAAGTAACAGAAGATATTCAAAAACTAAATGATATTCAGCAAACCCCATATGCAAACTCGTTTGCAAGTAGGTTATATGGATCTCCAAGGTTCCATAATACAGTAAGCAAGGCTGAGCCTTGGTTGTCACCATGGAATGGAAGAAAGCTACGCCCATATATCAGACGGGACTTTGAGAATAAACCGCCAGGAATGCGCCTTCTTCACGAAATACGGTTGGCTGCTGGAAAGCCACAAAAACGAAGACAAGAATTGGTCATTTCAAGTGAGCAACTGGATTCAGAGAGCATAGACTATGTATATTTCCAAAAAGATCATCTCGAGCCAGTTAACCAAGTCCTTCGTCGTGCGTTTTGGGATGAAATCGATGTCTCTGAAAATCTATTGTTCCCCGAGTATAGTATTGTTGCTCTCTACAAACGATACGTTGTTGGATGTGCTTTTATGACTCCGGAAGCGTATGTCACATATATAACGGTGGTACCTGGTTGGGAAAAGGCAGGCATAGGACAGTAAGTATATCTCCTCGGTTTTCAAGCATGAGAGCACACTTCTAATAGAGTCAAATTTTAGATTTTTATTATACCATCTTTTCCAAACCGCCATCAGTAAAGATATCACTCTCCATGTATCAGCGAATAGCCCCGCTATGGTATGTACTAAACGTTTATTGATTACATTCAGCATTCACTAATAGTCTACCTGTTACCCTCTCCCAGATACTTTATCAGAAATTCGGCTTTAAACCTGAAGAATTCATCATTAATTTCTATGACAAATACCTTTCTCCTGAGAGCTCTTATAGTAAGAATGCCTTTTTCCTTCGATTACGTAGGTAACTTGCGTTTCCCAACGTCCTTCAGGCTCAAGGATCAAAAATAAAAATGTTTAATTTGAGAGTGACTTTATCACGTGACATGACGGCCTTTCAAAATTTCGACCTTTTTTTTTTTTTTGCTGGTTGACAACTTGCTGGATAACTTAACCAACTTTCTTGATCAAGATTGGACTTAGCACACAATGTCCTCTTCAAATGTCATAGGTTCTCTCATTTTTTGTCCAGAATGTGGAAATTTATTGGACATTCCTGGTGGTGACGACGATTTGATTGTTTGCAATCAATGCAGTTATGCTCAGAGCAGTGCCGGTACGATCCGTTTCTACGCTGTATATCTTTGCAACGTATCTCTAACTTTGCCGTAACAGATTATGAGGCTATGGAGATTGTCACAACTTCGTCTGAAAATGCCTTCCAGTCTCCATTAAAGTCAAAAAGACATCTTGTGCAACAGAAAGGACCAAAGACAGAAGGAGCTGCTATGGTATGAACACAACTGAAGACTTCGTTACTATTATTGTCATGTCACTTATTAACTGAATCACAACAGATCGATGAGAAGTGTCCTAATTGTGGCAACCCCGAGATGGCCTATCACACTATGCAACTTCGGTCTGCTGATGAAGGTCAAACTGTGTTTTACAACTGCAAGAAATGCGGGTAAGTGGATGTCGACGTTAAGTCTTCTACATGCATGCTAACAGTATCTAACTTACTTCAACTACCACCAGCCATAAATTCTCCATAAATACCTAATTATGTAGCACTGTCGTGAGCTCTTTGCATTCCTCATTGTACATTACCATGCAGCTCAATATAAAAATCATTTGATATAGCAGTCCGAATGAATGCACTTTATCCTTTCTTCTTTCTTGCTATTAAATAACTTTCCATGTTATGACCAGTCTTCATGAAAACGTCAACGTTATACATTGTAATAAATGCTATGAATCCTACACTCGGGGCCAACAACAAGAAGGCTTCGTCTTTACCGACTGTTGTCACATCATTTGCGCAAACTGCATGAGCGTCAGCATTTCTGGAGGTAATTTTCATGTATCATTTTGTGAGCGTAAATCATAATTTAAGCAAGTTCAAAGAATTCCATCAAACCCCTCACAGCAGACGAATGCCCTCTCTGCAAAAGTGAATGCACATTCGTTAAGTTAGATGAAAATGTAAGCGCGAATATTCAGATCATCATTGCCCTCAATGTGCAACTCTTGACTTGCATAGAAAGATTCCCGTTGCAATAGAACGCCTCTTTGTATCTCCCATCACATTGATAAATGAAGCAGTACAAACGATAGAGGTAAACTACTTGAGAACAAATTATTTCCGCAAGAGGATTATTTCAGCTTAGTGTACAATACCATAGTTCCAGAATTCCAATATGCTTGGCCAGATTCAATACCAGCAGAGAAGATTGCGTGAGCAGAATACCACGTTACAAGAGCTAAACCACAGTCTTCTGGAAATGAAAAGGTAGTATTGCTATCGAACCTCTGGCCGAGGATGGACTATTGTGCTTAATTCTAACCTTATGTCTTAATTGCTAGAAAGTTAATTACACAGGAACAACACAATGACAAGCTAAAGTACCGATACGTTAAAGACAAATTTGGCATGAGCGATTCAGTTATCCAGAATATGTCGCATATTTCGCTTAGTGGTGGTTTTGAAACGCCAGTTCAATTCGGAAACGAAGACGGTCAGACGTAGGTTGAAAATTGCTGGACGCTGTTGTCTGATGATTTAGAAGATTAGTTCTTAACAATTGGTCTTCAGAACGTTACAAGTAACTTCCACCATTGCTAGCCACTCAACAAACGCGTCACAACCTTTAAGATCGATAATGATTCAGAGAGAGAGATCGGACATGACCTTTGAAAAGGGTCCAAGAAAGCCAATTGCTGGCGGCGATAGAAGATTATCACTTCGACCTTCGCCGTTTAGACACGGGAAACAGCTTACCAGGCATGGAGGTCCGATCAAATATGCTGATAGCAATACATCAGCATCAAGTACCAGTGATCACATAAAGTATATAAACAGTCGGTCCAGTATATATGGGTAAGTTGTTCCATCCAATATCATTGCTTGTATGAAATTGAGTGGACAAGTGGAAGCCTGCCTCAATAACGATCCCACTGGTTGAAACCTATCTTAACTCCTTTGCAAAAATCTTTTATATGACTTGCAGATATCAAAATGTCACAAAATCACAAACAACACATTTGCAAAGCTGGCGAGACATGCAACTAGCTCATAATCAAAACAAAAATTGTTGAGTAGTAAATCTATTGTTTACTTGTCTATGCATAGCGGTTGTTATTATTTCTCATTAAGAGATATAAACCATGAAGGAAGTGTGGTCTCTATTTTATCACTTATTTATCTTCGGTTTTTGGGTGGATGCGATCTCCGTTGGGAAGAATAAGTTCATAAAATGCAACATCCAACCATCTTCCAAATTTGTAGCCTGAATCTTTGAATGTACCAATGTGTCTGAAGCCTAGCTTGCTATACAAATTCAGAGACACGGAATTCTCGATCGTAATGGAAGCTGGTGCAAGTGAGTCATCATATTACCATGAGTAGATAAATTACCTTGTTACTTACCAACAATAGCATGAATATCAATCTCGTCGGCTTTTTCTATGATCTTATCCATTAAAACCTTTCCTAAACCTTGTCTTCTGTGGTTGACATGAACATAGAGCGAGACTTCGGCAGAACTAGGATGCAACGAATTATAAAGGGATGGAAACATATATCAACCAAGAAACGAATGTTCACATACGCATTGTAAGCTGGCTTATCGCGGAATGTTCCAAGAGAGCAGTAAGCAGCCACTTCTTCTTGTTCGAGTTCACCCTCTTGGTCCGATGCCTTCTTTACTGCAACTATTATTGGAAAGCCTTTGGTTTTGCAAGTTCTGAACCATTCCAAGCGGTTGTCCAGACCAACTGGGGAGTACATGAATAATGAGGAAGAATTTAAAATCTGCTCATTGTAGATTTCCACAATCGTGGGTAGATCGGCTTCCGTCGCATCCCTAATGTAATATGAAGAATTCATTCTCTCAATACTGTTTGAAGATAAAGAAACTATTGAGTCTAAATTTTTCCCCATTTTTGTTGTTCATGTCAAATTTTACAGTGCTTGAAACGATTAAACTCAGTTCAGGTTTTGATCGCAGTGATCGATATTTTTAATACATACCAACAACGTGTGCCTGACACTTTGAACACAGCTGAAATGCAATGCCTGAACACCCAAGTTATATAATCTACCAATTTTTGGATACCGTCATCAAACCTGGTGCCTTTGATAACTCCAAACATCGAGGTATCTGCCAAGTGTTAGATGCTGAGACAAGAAAATATATTGCGGAACAATTAACAGCAAAGGTTGGTGTACGGTATGCACCACTTCAGCGACTTCCTCCGGTTGCTCGGATATACGATAAACCTCAATTACGAGAGACAACAATCTACAACGTGTACAGTATGCCGATTCTGTCACTGTTCGCTCACTTCATGCCATGGTGCATATGCTTCATCCTATGGTACCTATAAAAGACATTGACCGAGTGTATTCGGCAATGAGCGACACATCTGCTTGGATTGGAATGCCGCTGGAATGGCCAACGAGCTAAAAAAGACTAACATTACGTTCAGAGCACGTAATACAAGATTCCACAAAAGCATCCTGGCAAATACATAATGCCAGTAATTTCTACAGGATACCATGACATAACAAGCAGCCTTATACAAGGCAATGAAACGGGTACAACCCGAGAATCAAGTGCTTAATCGTTTCCCGCAATTAAAAGTTCAGCGGCAAAACCAGCAGTTTTTTCGGGTCGCTCCGACGCTTAGAGCGGCGGTCGGGAAAAATACAGTCACTAACTTCAATGACAGTTTCGGACAGTCGCGCAATTCCAAGTACGTACCTTCTACGTACCTTCAAATCAAATCCGATACCATATAAAAACTCAATGCTTGGTTTGCCACCAAAAAAATGTTAATGAGGCGATCAGGGATAGATTTTTAAGATGAAAGATTTTTGTCAAACAATACTACAAGAACGAGATAAATAATGAAAACTTTAAAAGATACTTGGCTTCATGCTATTAGAAGCCTCGTTCATTTTGGTCACAACCTTTTTTTCTACGAATTTATTGAGTCTCACTTAACTTTTGACATCCAGCCAAAAGTGCTCGTGAACATTTTACTTTGAAAGAATGTATTGTATCGCTTGAGGTACCCGAGGTTGTATTCTAGATAACATCCGATTTGACATATTCTCTGAAGGAAGTACACAGATTTTCCTGGGCTTTTAAAACACATGTAGAGGAAGTAAAGAACCGAAAAAAAGGGAAAAGAGCATGGCGTTTAGGAAATTTAAGCCAAAAATTCATCTCACCACCACCGTAGACGACACCTAGACACTTTGGGAAAATGCGGACTAAAACCCAAGTTAATTTGTCTGGGAAATGCTATTTGATGCAGAGTGTGTACGAGACGCTTAAATACAGAAGAATGAAAAAGAGATCTTAGAGATGTCGAGTAGTCTGAACTTATCACGGCTCGATTGTTGAATATCTTCTTTTCAACCTTCTTCGGTAAGCTATTATTGCATTCAAAGTGCTGTCAAAAGCAACCAATACATCTCGTTCCAGCAACCTTCGGGTACCCGTTCTTTCCTTTTAATTGACAACGCAAGGAAGCTTTCTCAAATGTGGTACTTCACCGACAGCCTTACCGTAAAATATGCTTGGGCAATGCATGTTAACATGAGAACTCAGCTACTCAGCTCATCTTGAGCATATAATGCAGATTTAAAGATGTTTTACGCTATCCTACATTGCTCATAAATATCAAAATTCGGGCAAATATGAGATCTGTACTATATTACTTGAAAATCCAAGTATTGTTAAGTGTAACTACATCATTTTTACTACAGTTGAGCACTGACACTGTTGGGTGGTTTGACTTCGCTGCTCGCTGTCATGTGTCTTGAGCTATAGGCCAAGTTACCTTGTTTGGGATGCAAAGGAATCGTCCAAATGATTAAAAATTAATGTGCAGATACTCTCAATGACACTTAGGCATACACTACAAATGAAAACCTCAGTAATTCAGGTTAGGTACTTGCTTCTCCACTTCACAACCACGTTTAGCAACATAAACATTAGAATTCATTGACGCGCTGCATTAAATCATTTTATAACAAAGGAGTAAAGGTGTACTATCATACAAGTAATGCTGCGAATAACGCTTGTCGTAGACAGCTACAAGGCGGGATTACTTTCTATTTTTCTTCGACTTTTTGCTCTTTCCGCTTGCTGGCTTGGATGTCGGTATGCCAGCATTTCCTTGTGGTTGCTGAGCTGTATTCTCAGGTACCTGGACAGCTACAATGTCGGAAAAAGCGTTAGGACAGAATTAATGCTTTCACCATAACGCAGTTATAACTACCTTCGGTTGGCTCTATGTTTTGCATTTTGGACATCATAGATCTGTTGAGGCCTATGAATTTTTTTAGATCAGTCGATTGTTTAGTCTTGTACTTTACCGCCTGAAGTGAGAATCACATTGTTAGATTTCTATTGAAAAAAGTTCAATGAGATCAAACCTTCATACCGATCGGTCGTCCGTTACTTTCAAAATCAGCTCTCCATCGATATGGCGGTACGATGAGACGTATCTTGTCTGTGGAAGATGACATTTATAAGCTCCAAGTGCAGTAAAATGATCATCAAAATGGAGCTATCGTTACCCGTAAAGGAGATGCAATATATATATCCTCTGCCGCTTTTTGAAAATCGTCCCAGGTATCCAAATACATCGATCGCGAAACTACCCGTAATATAGCAGCCGTAAGATTGAAAGGGCGAAAAAAATCAGGTTGGTTTGGAGACAGTCAGTTTACTGAGCTGCTTACATCACCAAAACTCAGTCCTGAAATTTACCATCACAAATAAGGCGGTAATAAAGTTACACAGAATCGTAAATAGAAATGCAGTGGTCGCAGTTGCAGAGAACTTCGCCTTTTCTCAACCTAAACAAACATAAACTGCATAACACAACTTGCTTACATATATATCTTTCGCCTCTCAGCACAAGTAACAGCTTCGAGATAGCTTTTCGTACCATCAGACAAAATGGGTGAACGTAAAGGAGTTGTCCGCGAATTTCACTTTGTCGATATGGAAGACCCAAATCGTTACAAACGGCTGAAGGTCCTGCGTGCGTGCGATTTTTGTCGAAAGCGAAAAGTCAAGTTAGTGCCAAAAAGTACCACAAATCTAAAGTGATCTATACAATATGAAAAACTAACCGATTTTTACGTTTCCGTATGACAGATGCGACTTACCACAACCAAATTCTGGCACTTGTTCAAATTGTCAAAGAGCACGACAGCCCTGTACATTTTCGTCTATTCAAGCTGGTGACAACGCAAAGGAGTTGAGCGTGATGACCGAACGTACAGCTCTTGGGGCCTCTAAAGGTGTACTTTTGAAACAACTTGCTATCGCAGAGAATGATAAAGTTGACGAAAGCAATACATTCGATATAGCCTCTATCAGTAAGCGTCTGCTCACCAATTACATCTGGGATAGATCATCTCCAAGCCACAATACCAATGCTACCGGCGAACTAGTTTTACCCGCTCAAACTGGACATACTAAGCAACTTGATATGACATCGTACAAAACTACTTTCATATACCTTTTCGAGATATATTTACGCCACTTGAAGTCTTTATTTCCAGCCGCTGTCTCTGCAGACTATGATGCTGCTACGGAGAGAATATCAGTCGGACTAGTCACCTCGGTTGAAAAAGCCATGTTGGCATGTGCTGCCGCGCGAATGTATATCGTAGAGCGAGACAATACGACCGCTGACTACTACGCGGTTTGTCGGAATCTTATCCACGAAGCCAAATCCGACATGATCAAAGAGCAAACGATGAGTGATTCAGACCATTTTCGTACATGCTTTCATCTTAGCATATGCTATCTCTTGGTTCCTGATATACAACCAGATGATCAGTATTTACTTCACTGCATTGAAAGACTGACTCAAATATCTCGGTCGAATTTAAATGATATCATTCCAGCGGATGACGGGGTAAGGGATGAAGAATTCATCCTCACAAAATTTTGGACAGCCTATCTACTATGCTGCTGTAAATACAAAAATGGCACTGTAGAAAGGGCCGGCAGTTTCAATGAAGTAGAAGCATTCAAACCACTTTCGTCGGACGAAAAACACGTTAAACTCAGAACGGAACACTTTGTCTTCGTCGATTTATTATCACAACTATTGAATATTAGACTCTCCGTAATGCAGCACCTAAAAAGCCAAAAGGCGACCTCGCGGGAGCATTATGATCGACTAAAAATGGCATTGAAGCGCTGGAGAAAGGCTTTACCTATCGCCTATGATACGGCATACAATATTATCGATAGTTCCTTCGTACAGCGAAACCAAAAAGATGAGTACAACAGTTTGGCTTCCAATTACGCCGAAGCTGGTCAATATACTCTGCTTAGCTATCTCGTGTACACTGGCACAACCATCCTACTGGAAGATTATTTGCATAGAGAGGAATGCAACACGGTTGATACGCTGAAATTGAAATTGGCTAAAACCATGATCTCTTCATTGGAAACTGCTTTGTTTGAAAAAGATATCAGTGAATCACTTTTCCTGATGACCCATCGATTGGTAACAGAAGACGCATTACATTCGCTCTTTATTGTCTTCCATGCATCTACCATACAGCTCATCAACAAAGGTAGTATGGACAAAAGATTCAAGGATGCTGTAATCCGGTCCAGTCGATCAATCAAAAACGTTATTCATTGGATGGCTCTCTGGTACAAGGAAGAAAATCTGTCTCAGTTGGAAGTAGACATCCACACTGGTTCATTACAAAAAGAAATCGAAACTCTCAGGAAAGAACCAAAGTATAGCAAAATATCACATAATCCAATACCAGATATTCCAGACGCAGTACATAATCCTGCAGCAAATGGACTGCCAGCTGCCCCTTCTTCATCTGTGACACTACCTACTTTTTCAGCGTATGAAGTATTTCTAGGCCCAGAATCGTCGAATAACACATCACTTTCGCGCTACAATAACTGAAAAGTGGTTTTATATGGCTTCTACTACAGCCTCCTTTCTCAGCAGTGCTTGTATATACACCATTTAAATTAGAATGCACAGCTCGTCTGCAAGGACAGGTTTATAAAGAGTTCATATATTCTACCATCTATATATTTTGCCTCTGAACCAATCTCAGAGCTGAAAGTACCATGTCCGCTGCGCTCTGAAGATATAATTTTCATGGACTACAGTTAAGATTAGGTTTTCGGGGGGTTCAAAGTCTTGATGGCCATAGCTGCAAGAACCTTTTTTTTTTTTTTTTTT